CCCCAAAACCCCAAAACCCCATAAATCCAATTCTTGAACAAAGGGAATGTTAGAAATGAGATTATTTTATTTAAGATTATTAAATTTACTTTTAGGATAACTTGATTATTTTTCGTGAATCAATCACTCTCATCTGAGAAATCTTCTGTATTACCAATGTTAGGTCTTTGATTTTACTGTTATTATTAATTTCTCTCCAAAAGCTTTTTCTGCTCCACTATTTAACTTTATTGTACAATTATCATCATATTTTATTCAATCAGAAGTTTTTATTGAGCATAAACCAATTATTATTACGACTAAAGATGATTGGAAGTATATGAAGCATTAGGTTAGTTTGATGGGTATTGAAGGTATTCTTTTCTGAGTTTACAAATGAAATAATAGCTAATAATTAGGTAAATGCATTATGGCATAGTATACACAGCTATAAAAATCCCAACTTAATTAATCATCCAATCATCGGCTTCTGAATAATACTCAAAATCTCCTCTTCTCAAGAGTGCTGATAAAACAGTCAATGCAACTACAATAAATGATAGAATAAATGCAGTGAATATTCTCAAACAAAATTAAGATTTGAGTTACTATCTAGTGAAGACATGGTCTTATTTAATGTAATTGGCTTCTCCATATAATTAAGGTAGGAAGACTAAAAATATACTCACGAGTCCACAATAGCACATTGGAAATTAGAAATCGCCACCAGCACTGGATTGAAAGCAAATCCAAAAAGTTAGATAATTCACAAATTGAAGTAGATCAAGTACTCCGAATACAAGGAAACCTGTTCTAAGATTATAACGTCCACATAAAATCTTAGATTACTGATTTCTTATTGAGTGTTAACCTTCTGGAAGAGAAGCATTATTTTGGGTTTAATTATGATTGAGTTAATGTTGCTGTTGCTGAAGTTATGGAGCAAAATCTGTCATTTGATTTAGATTTATTAAAGATTATAGCAGAGAGTTAAGAAATCTATTTATTATAATTTTGGTTAATAAGCATTTTTTGTAGCTAGCCTAACTATAAATACATATGTATTAAAATGAATACTACATTCCGTTATTTTATCAATTCTACCTCATGGGGTTTTGGGGTTTTGGGGAGATCG